CAGAAGGGAGGGCCCTCAAGCTGCAGAGTGGTTTTTGTTTGTTTGTTTGTTTGTTTGGTTGGTTGGTTGGTTGGTTGGTTTGGGGGTTTTGTTTGTTGGTTTATCTGAGAGTATCTTAATTGGGCATTTTCATTTTCAACATGAAAATCAGTGAGGCTCGGGCTTGGTGATGCAACACAACGGTAAAGCATTTGCCTAGCATGTGCAAAGCCACGGTTTCAGTCCCTCACACCGAAAGCCTATGAAGTTATATGCAATGAGTGATTAGCCAAAGGTTGTTAGGAAGTGAGAGGGCTTGCAAGAGCAGCTTCCGTTCAGCAGCACCTGCGGGCCCTCTCCCACGCTGGCCAGGAGGCGACTCCTCCAGGTGTGGCTAAAAGAGAAACACTAGACTACTGTATTAGGCACTTTTGAGTCACTGTGACCAAAACACCTGAGAAAACAATTTAGAAGAGCAAAGATTTACTTGGGCTCAGTTTCAGAAGATTTGGCCCATTGTGGTAGGAAAGGTGTGACACCATGGCAGCCAGGAAGCTGAGAAAAAAGGGTTCACTACTGGGCCAGTGTCACACACCCTCAGTGACCTAATGCAGCTAAATAGGTCCTACCTCCTACCTCCATCCTCTGTCAATAATGCCATCATGTTAATCCACTCACTAGGTCAGAACCCCCACGATCTGATTGTCTCTGGAAACGAATCACAGACATCCTCGGAGGTGTGCTATAAGCACCCCAAGATAGGTGCTTTACCAATCTTCTAGACATTCCTCAGCCCTGTCAAGTTGAGTCTACCAGTTTCTACCACTCCTGGCAGTGTCTCCCTTACCAGAGACGTACTAGGTGAGAGGACGGGCAGGGGCAGGTCTAGAACCCAGGTCCTCTCTCTTTGCCTCAGTAAAGCTCGCCACACATATTCTTTGGGTAACAGAAAAGAAGGTGGGTGTTGAGGGCACAGCAAGATGGCTCCACAGATAAAAGACACTTGGTTTTTGTTGTTGTTGTGTTTTTGTTGTTTTCTGAGACAGGGTTTCTCTGTATAACAGCTCTGGCTGTCCTGGAACTCACTTCATAGACCAGGCTGGCCTCAAACTCACAGAGATCTGCCTGTCTCTGCCTCCTGAGTGCTGGAATGAAAGGCGTGCACCACCACAGCCTGGCCCTTTTTATATATTTCTAATAATTTATTTAACCTTACTTTATATGCATTGGTGTGAAGGTATCAGATCCCCTGGAGCCGGAGTTACAGACAGTTATGAGCTACCATGTGGGTGCTGGGAATTGAACCCAGTCCTCTGGAAGAACAGCCAGTGCTCTTAACTGTGGAGCCATCACTCTAGTGCCCAGCACTCGTTGACAAGCTTTGTTAGGACCCAAGTTCTGTCCACACAGTAAAAGGAGTGAAGTAACTTTTTCAAGTTGCCCTCTACTCTCCATACATGAGTTGTGGCATACACATGTGTGCACACATACACATATATACAAAATGTATTTTTTTTTTACACAGGGCTGGAGAGATGCCTCAGCAGTTAACAGCACTGCTGCTCTTCCAGAGGAGCAGGGTTCAGTTTCAGTACCCACATGGAAGCTCACAGCCATCTGTAACTACAGTATCACAGGATCTGACACCATCTTCTAGCCTCCTTGGGTACCAAACATACATACTATGCACACAAAAATATGCACCCATACACATTAAATATTTTTTAAGTTAATGAATGTTAAAAATAGATATCCATGCTCCCAGATTTTCCCCTTGCAGCCAGGCCAACTACCCTTCCCTCCTACTCCCTCTCTGCCCCCAACACTGCCTCAGTGGATCCAACCTAAGCCCAGAGCATGCCTTGTAATTCTGTCCACTCCATTGCCGGTCCCAGGAGGCTGGGAAGGGACTTCCAGGGTTTTTCCTGGCTTAGACAGGCACTCTAAAGCAGGCTCTGCTACCCTGACAAAGCCTGCTAAGCTACTCCCATAGTTACTGACAGTCTCTCTCCAGAAGAGAGAAAGAAAAAGTCAAGATCACAAAGTGATCTTACAGAGTCCATGCGAGGAGACTGTGGAGCCCCTTTCCTGACAGTTGGGGAGAAATCTCCAGAGGGTGGTCCCTGGGGATTCATGACACTGATGTGTGTATTCAGGACATCTGAGCTCAAGGTGAGGCTCTGCTAATGACTAGCAGACTTGGGGCTTATCACTTTACTCTTGACCCTGTTTCAATGGCTATAAATTAGGGTCTTGCTCAACATTCATTCAACAAACCCTGCTGGCACTCCTATAACATGCCAGCTGCCATGTAGAATGATGGCACACATACTCCCCCAACACACACACACACACACACACACACACACACACACACTCTCTCTCTCTCTCTCTCTCTCTCTCTCTCTCTCTCTTCAGGGTACGTGGAATTCAGACTATTAGTGATCAGGAGGTGGCTCCTTAGTTAAATGGTCATAATATGTAAACAATGTCTCTACTATGAGGCTCTCATGCCATTTTTGTTTTGTTCTGGCTTTTTGAGACAGGATTTTTCTGTGTAATTCTGGGTCTTAGAACTCATCCTGTAGACCAGGCTGGTCTCGAACTCACAGAGATCCACCTGCCTCTGCCTCCTGAGTGCTGGGACTAAAGGTATGCACCACTACCATTGCCTGGCAGGAGAATAATTTTTAAAATAGAATTCAAAATGCTTCTGAGTTAGTTTTGCCATGTCCCAGCAGGTCAGCAGCCTCTGTGACACTCTGGGGAGTGCAGTGACTGGCCCTAGGTTGCATCTCTCTCTGGCAATGGCACAAGAACTCTTCAGTCTGTTGGCCATCATGCATTATTGGGCAGGTCCCTAGATTCCTGACATCTTCTTAATCATGATGGCGACATAGACTGGTGATCAATATCTCTCTCTCTCTCTCTCTCTCTCTCTCTCTCTCTCTCTCTCTCTCTCTCTCTCTCCCAAGCTTCTTTTGGTGATAAAAGCTGAAGCCAATTGAAACTGACAGTTCTGTGTTCTTAAGCAAGGACCAGAGATCATGTGAAACACACTTCTGAAATGTTGGTTTTTAAAAAAAAAAAAAAATCTAATCTTGCCTCAATAAAAATGACATCATGTCACTGTGATCGCACAAGAGAAAGGCTTGAGAGCTGCTGGCAGTGGCCCAGAGTTCAGGGGTTACAGTGGCTGCACTGAATTCCCACGGGAAAGGTGGAGGGGGTACTGCCTTTCAGGTGAGCGCTGCAGGTTGTCAGGTGTGCAGAGGAGCAGGAGGCATGACAAAGTTCCCCTGAATTTTTCCTCAGCACTGGCCTCCTCCACACCTGCTCTCTCACATGCCTCCAGGGCCCAAGGAGCTTTGGGGTATGTGCTTTTTTTTTTTTTTTTTCCAGCCAGCTGATTTTGAGGGAGTAAGGAGACAACAGCCAACCTGGGGAATCTCAATGAGAAGTTAGTTTCTCTCTGGGATCACAGACCCAAGCCAAGCAGGGAGACAGCAAATATTCCAGTTCCGCTCTTGTGGTGTGGCACCACTAGATGGTCAGAGCCAAGGATGGCAGTAGAAATGCCAGGTAGCCCACGAGACAGCTAGCTGTTCTGCGTGGGAACTCATGTGGAGCTGGGAACTAAGTTTCACAGCTCCTCGGTTTATCTTCTACAACTGCCCACAGCAATCCCTCGATGGGCCTATGAGGGAAAGGAAGACTATAGCATAAAGCCACAGGCAGTAGGGCCGCTTGTCTTTCTTTCTTTCTTTCTTTCTTTCTTTCTTTCTTTCTGTCTTTCTCTTGTTTTTTGTTTTGTTTTTCGAGACAGGGTTTCTCTGTGTATCTCTGGTTGTCAATGGAACTTGATCTGTAGTCCAGGCAGGCCTTGAACTCAGAGATCCACCTGCCTCTGCCTCCTGAGTGCTGGTATCAAAAGCATGAGGCACCACCATCCTGCTGAAGAGCCATTTCCCACAATTCATGCTTTTGTATACTGAAAATTTCTGAAAATGTGCATTTATTTTAAATTAAACCATCTATCTTTTCGTCACAGGCTACATGGTCTCTCCTCCCCACCTACCCCTGTCCAGGGTACAAAGTGTCACAACAAGCGAAACTCGGAAATTGCATTTTACTTGAAGGGTTGGGCAGAGGGAGAGGCAGAGATATGGATTTTATATTAAAGGAACTATGATCTGTGTGGAGTATTATCCAAAGCGTACAGATCATGTTAGGTTTCAATGAGCGGCAATAGAGCTGAGGCTGGGAGTGGTAACAAGCCTTCCTACAGCCTCACACCATGAGGAGGATGGAAGACACACATCTGGCCAGTCATGGTCACTTTACTTTCCTAGTACGTCCCAGTTCAGTTCCTTTCTGGCTACCATTCTGGTCCAGGCCATCTATACCTCTGACCTAGACTAACGCCACTGTGTCTTATGTGGTCTCCTTGCCTCCATCTCTGTCTACTTTAGAGTAACCAAAGAGATCCTTTAAAAATATGAAACAGGGGCTGGAGAGATGGCTCACTGACTGCTCTTCCAGAGGACCCAGATTCAATTCCCAGCACCCACATGGCAGCTAACTGTCTGTAACTCTAGTCCTAGGGAATCCAAGGGCAACAGATACCCAAGTAGCATACAGACACATATTCAGACAAAACACTCATACACATAAAATATTATAATAATAAATAAGCTGAAATAGGCTTATACATTAAAATAAAAAAAAAGCCAAAGCAGATTGCAAGTGTGTGGCCCAGTGGTAGAACCTGTTCTTAGCATGCCAAAGGTTCTAGGTTTTATTCCCAGCACTGAAACATACACACACACACACACACACACACACACACACACACACACACACACACTCACACACACACACGTCTAATAAAGCACCCTATGTGCACCATTTGCTTGGGTAGTCAAACACTGGGCCACCATACCTTCCTGTACTCTCCCTTGCTTGTTCACGTGTACCATCAGAGGGTTCTAGAGCATGCAGACACAGCCCTACCCATGTACCTGCTCATTGCAAAAAGCTGCTCCCTGGGTGTTCATGGGATGTCTCTTTCCACAGCACACGGTTGAAATCCATGCCTCTCCCACTTTGTACCTTGACTCTTCATCAAGAATGAGCCTCTCCATCCCTTTCCCATGTCCTATGTGTGCTCTCTTAGACCAAGTGTCCTTTTCAGCCCCACTTTCTGTCTGACTTCCACCTTTCCACACGGATTTTTTTCCTGGAGCCTCCCTGGAATAAAGACAAGAGATCCCCCATGAAGCCTGGAGAGGTGGCTCAGTATGTAAAGTGGCTGCTATGCAAGCATGCAGACCTGAGCTGGTGTCCCTATTATAATCTCCATTATAACCCCAGCACTGGGAAGCAGAGACTGAAAGGTCCCAGAAGCTCAGTGGTCAGCCAGTCTAGCTCTCGCTGAATCGGTGTGCTGGAGGTCCAGTGACAGACCCTGTCTAAAAAACACCCAACAATGACCTTTGGCCTCTACATGCACATGCACACACTTGTATACATAAAACACACAGGAAAAAAAAAAAGAGAGACTAGAATCTCTTGCAGACAGCAGGCAAGAGATGATGAATGCACAAGCCATGGGAACGGGTGAAAATTTACCTCAAATCTATCAGCGAGTGAAAGGGGAAAATCTATAATACTCAAGACCCCGAGTCTGGGTCATTCTACACAACATTGTTCTAAGATTCTATGTTATTACCAGTTTTTAGTCAAAGCACTTGGCATATGTGGGTGTTATTGTACCCTGCCTCTTCTTTATTGTCTCAAGGTAAACACTTGTGATTCCTAAATGCCTAAAGAGTGAATCAGTATTCTCCTGTTCAAACCAGCAGAGGCCACATCAAACAATAGCCCACAAGCTAGTATTAATCATTAAATAGGTACATAGATGACTACACAAGCAAAGGAGCCATTTTCCATGTCTTTCTTGTCTATTTTTTTTTATGAAATTAACAAAGCATAAACTTTGTCGTTGACCTGTTCAGAAAATAGTTGCACTTTCTTAACCATTCAGGACTTGTTGAGTTCAAGGCTCACAGGGCACATGTCAGGTGGGAAAGTGTTCCTTCTTTGAGGCTTCCCCAGCCACTGAATAATGGCCTGAGATTTGCATGTAGCACCTGCCTTCTTAATATTCACACACCGAAGGAAAATGGACCTTCCCAGCCAGCGCTGGTAGATACAAGTGTCCGTGGTAGGATTACTATGCTGTAGCCACCCCAGGGAGCAAACTAACCAGTGGTGAGGGGGATGTCCTGGGCGCACTGACTCTATCCAAGGTGAAACCAAGTCCAGTGAAACATGGGAAAACACAGCTGTCATTGAGCCTCTCCGTCCCTTTCCCATGTCCTATGTGTGCTGAATGAAACCCTCTTGGATAAAAACTGGGGCTCCAGCGTGACATGGGGTCATGGGCCTGCAACCCCAGCATTTGAAGAGGAGAAGGATTTGGAGTCCAAGGCCAGTTTGGGCTTCAAGAGGCCCTATCACAAATAAATGAAAAAAACCGGAGCTGGATCCTTGACGGATGCTGGATCGAGAGCATCACTTCCCACGGGTGTCAAACAGGAACCGTGTCTCACTTTCCCTCAGAAGGCATCTGCATGGCTGAACAAACAGGTGAATGAACAATTTAGTACATACAGTCAGAGGCCACAGAAACAGACAGCCATGTGTCCCAAGCTATGCCAGTCTCATGCACTACCTACCAACAGCAGTGTCTCTTGCCAGCGAGGCCATAAATTAGATGGAGGAGCCAGCCAGAAAGGTCTCAGAAGCTCGGGCCTGCTTGTGTGTGTGTGTGTGTGTGTGTGGTGTGTGTGTGTGTGTGTGTGTGTGAGAGAGAGAGAGAGAGAGAGAGAGAGAGAGAGAGAGACAGAGAGACAGAGAGAGACAGAGACCGAGAGAAAGAGAGAGACAGAGAGAGAGAGAGGAGAGAGAGTGTGTTTGCTTGTTTGAGTATCCCTCTAGAGCCCTGGGTCTCCTTGAGCCTGGCAGGGTGGGAAAGGGGCATCCCACAGCCCCAGGCCAGGCCCACCCACATCCTTTCTGATGTCCTTGGCTCCATTCAGATGGTTCCTCTCTGTGAATCTGGGGCTCACTGCAATGAACTCGAGCTCCATGCCCTTTCTGCCAGCAAGTAAAGGCTAGCCAAAGGCATGGGCAGGAAGACCCTCCTCCCTGCAATAGGAAGTAAGTCAGGTGATCTTTAAAGCTTCCTCCTGGCCTCAGAGCTGCGATTCATTTAGCCAGGTTGAATTTTCCGGTTTGATAAATACATGCATGGTCCAGCTCATTACAGTGCTTTTCCATTCAATATTAACAACATGTGAATGCTTTTGTTTGTTTGTTTGTTTTGTTTTGTTTTGTTTTCCGAGGCAAGGTTTCTCTGTGAAGCCCTGGCTGTCCTGGAACTCACTTTGTAGACCAAGCTGGCCTCAAATTCAGAGATCCACCTACCTCTGCCTCCTGAGGGTTGGGATTGAAGGTGTGTGACACCACGGCCAGGCCAGCGTATGTGTTTTTGTATTAATGAAAGTACTTACGTACCAGAGATACACATATAAGAAAAATAAAAGCATCTAAATATGTACATTGTGTTTATAAGTTATTTTAAGTATCAGATATACATATGCCTATATGTATACATACATACATATATTAATACATGCTAATATATATTCACATATATGTTTTATATATAACTTTCTTTAATAGTAAGAAAATCGAAGGCCTGAATTACTATGTCACACAGCTAGCAATTGAATTAAGCTGCAACTTTTGAACTCAAGCAGTCTGGCTCCCAAGTCTGCTATCCCACTTTTTCTGAGCACACATATGGCTCTATGCTCAACATTCCTAATGCAAGTAATCATCAAGTCAGTCAAATCTCAGCTGGAGATCACTTGCCACTCCCAGAGGAAGGCTCTATTTAAATAGCAGGACATTGCCCCTGTGACTTTACAGCCCCCTTTATCAATCAACCTCATAAAACCACAGGTGTGTTGGGGTGCTCTATAAAAACAGGTGTTTGTGTGCTGCAGCCACACTTAACCCAGGGTGTCTGAATATGATTACTAGTTACTTCTTGGCTCCGCAGCAGAATCTTCCTAGAGAACCTGTCTTGAAAAAGAAGCTGGAGGGCAGAGGAAGCAGGAAGTAGGGCCCCACTTCCCAGGTATTTGTTGAGCTTGTGCATGGCCTGGGTGAGGGCCCACCGGGTTCACCTGTCCCAGGTGTCCTCCTCATTCTTTTCCAGCCTCCCAGGAGGATGCACAGCCTACCCACTGGCACTTTTACCCTTTCTATCTGCTTTGCAATGATGGGACCTGCCTGCCCAGATCTTACTTATTAACTTTACATAGATATGGCAGGCTGCGATTGCAGGAGAATTGTTTGGGAGTGCAGTATCTCGCTTCTTCCCACGTACCTTACCCTGGGAATTGCTTTGTACTTGCACATTGCCATGTGGTGGTGTGTGTTTAATAACCATCAATAAAGATAGGCCTGGGAAAATATGGACAGACACAGATTCCTCTAGAGGAGAAGCCAGGAGGGTGCTGGCTGCCCATAGGTGATCAAAAAGGTGTGGTCAAAAAATAAGCCTTTTACTAAGTAGTTAAAGGTTTGAAGAATATGGTTGGCCTGAGGATTCCTTGACTACACCTAAAACTTGTTTCCTTAAGTCTGAGTTCATCCAGTGTTCATTATTCAGATACCAGGGTGCCTATTCTGCAGCAGGTACTTCTCAAACAGCTTGTTTATTAGAGAATTAAGAAAGATGAAGAAGCCAGGAGGTGGTGGCGCACGCCTTTAATCCCAGCACTCGGGAGGCAGAGGCAGGTGGATCTCTGTGAGTTTGAGGCCAGCCTGGTCTACAAAGCAAGTTTCAGGACAGACAGGGATACACAGGGAACCCCTGTCAGAAAACAATCGAGAGAGAGAGAGAGAGAGAGAGAGAGAGAGAGAGAGAGATCGCTTAGGATACAGCCCAACAGAAGAATGCTTGCCTAGCATGCACAAAGGCCTTGGTTCCAATCACTGGACCCACAAAAGGTAATTAAGTAAATAAATAATAAAATGAATGTCCAGTAAGAAAATGTAGGATGTAGAGGGGACATTTTTTTAAATAGAAGCCCAGAGCTTCACCAGGCCATGCTAATGAATAACATTTGGACAGTGAGCAAAATAGAAACCCGGAGTGTCACCATGCCACACCAATGAATAACATTTGGACAGTGGGCAGAGGTAGAAGTGACTGTTAAGGAGGTGGTGTGTGACCCTGCCTCCCACATACTCGGTGATCCAAAATATTTGTTGTGCAGAATTAAGCAACTAGTTGGAAATGGGAAAAATTTAGCCCTCACTGTATTATCCAAGCACAGTTAACATGTTTTATTTGACACAAAACAAACCATCAGGAACAATACCCTTCCACCCAGGTGACGAACCATCCCAGACACTAAGTCTATGACTGTCCAATGGCAAGACTTCGGGAGTAGATGAGGAGGATACAGATCATCCAGGCTCTCACTTGAACTTGAGTACTTGGTCCCCATGTGACTGTGGGAGCCTGTTGAGATTAAGGCCGGGCTGGATATTTGTGTGAGACACACATTGCCTGGCAACCTCCTCCAGGAGCCAGCAACATACTTGATCAAGAGGCCTTCTGTGAGATCAGGCCAGCCTGGCAGGCACCAGCATGTTTCCAGAGAGCTCACTTCCCATGGGCCCTCTAGGATTGCAGCCAAGCTTGGCCTATAGCTCCCACAAAAGGAAGAACTCTGCTCCCACTTTACCTAATGTCCACACACTGAGTAAGGCTAAGGGGATCCAAAACAGACTCCACCATGCCCACGTGGTGTAGAGGGGTGACAGATCAAAGTGAGGTTTTGCTTCCCCTTTGTTCTGAACCACCCCTCCACCTCTCTGGGGCCTCTTCCCCCAAGACTAACTCCAGGATACCATCTCTGCCCCCATTCCCTGTCACTGTGTAAAACCCTTTCCATTCTATGAGACCTGATCTATGTCTATTGCTCCACACACCAAACAGGACAGAGTGATTAACCACTGAGAAATGGCACATGTTCCAAAATTCTTCCAGGGACCTCAGTGGCAAAGCTGGTGCCATTTTCTGAGGCCTTTTGAGGAAGACTGTAGAAGACACCCAGGACCGCTTCCTGGGCTGGTCTCTAAGCTCAACATCTCAAAGGAAACGAGATAGTTCACACACAAGCACCATCTCTCAACCACTTGGGAAATCCAGTATTTGTCTTGCCAGTCCCTCTGATAGATGTGACATTGGCCCAAAGTTCAAGCAAGGTCTCTGTGTTCTAACCTCTTCACGGGCATTCCTAATGTCACGTTTTCTGCTCCTGAGATGAAAACAGCATCTGAGGATTCAGACTCAGGAGACAGAGCTACTCTCTCTCCAATCTTCCTTTTGGAGCAAAACAGATTAGCCATAAGAAAGAAGGCCATGTGGCTTGGCTTAGCTCAGATGACTGGGAGGGGGCAGCCGGCCTGTTCTGGGGGCCCCTACAAAACTTTCCTGTCTCCTGGAACTGTGAAGTCAAGATTCTTCCCATTTCAGAGAATACAGAATGGTGAGCAAACCTGGGCAAATCATAGTACAGAAAACTCTGAGGAATGCCTGGTAAAGGAGCCATGCTTCAGGCAACCCAGGGTATGTACCAGCGGGGCCTCCTCTTCCTCGATTGGAAAATCAATCCTCGGGTTCATAGAGATGGTTTGAAAATGTCCTTCTCCTCAAGAGATAGTGGGGAGAGTTTCTAGATGGGTAGCGCCTGAGTAAGGCCCAGGTTTTGCTACTCCCTCTTCAGGAAAGCAACCAGACTTGTACAAACCATTTCCCCTAGGCCTCAGTTTCCTCTCCGTTACATGAGTGAAGAATCTCTTTCCACTGTTGTCTCCAGCCCATGCCTTCCTATAATCTGAGATAATTGGAGGGCAGAGAGGAGCGGAGGAGATTGAAAATATATTGGATATTCATCTGTTTCTTACACCACACACACACACACTCACTGATGCAGTACTGGGAGTTGAACACAGGGCCTCATATATGCTAGACAAAACCTGGTAACAACAAGCTATATCCCCAGCCCTCTACTTTTTGAGACAGGATCTCACTCAGTTACTAAGGCCGGCCTTGAACTCTGTAGCTCAGGCAGGTCTTGACCTTGCAATCTCCTGGCCTCAGGGGGATTCACAGACCTACACCACCAGGCCTCATTTACATCATTTTTAGTCTTGAATTTTACTCAATTGATTTTTCTGGGTAGCTATATTTATTTTGGTTTCGATTTTTAGAGAGATTTGGTCTGATGTCACCATTTGAGTGGCTTATTTGCAAGCCAAATAATTGCAGAGCCTGGGTTTTTAGGGCCCAAGCTTCACCCCCACATTCTTAAGCCTTGGGCCTGTCCCCACACGCCTTAGTCATTAACCCAGCTAGAACCTCTCAAGCCCTGTGTCCCCAGGTAGCATCCTATGGTGTCTGGGAATGCCCTCCTCACCCCTGAGCCTGCAGGCTTACCTCACAGAGGCCTGACACTGCGGTGAGGCTACTGGCTATGAGCGCATGCCCCTGTGGTCCAGCCAAGTAGGAGAGTTGAGCAGAACACAGGCGCCCCACCCCCACCCTTCTAAGAAGGGCCTTCTTGGCAGCCATCCTCCTTCAGAGCCCATTAGGGAAGTGCACATTCCCTTGGTCTCACTGGCTCCAGTGAGTGTTAGGGGGCGGGGGAGCATTACAGGCTATTAGCCAATGTTGAAAGCCTGTTTTCCACCCCCCACCCGACTTCTCCTAGTACCGGCTGGGCTTGGCCAGGCATCAAGCAGGCGTTTTTGTTCAGAAGTGGCAACTTATTTTTATCAAAGATGGAATGCAGCCTTGCAGTTGTTTCCAATGCCTTTGCATGGCAACCAAACGTTTGTTCCAAGCATTCCCCAACCCTCTTTTCCCTTTCTCCATCTAAACACTGGGCAGGGAGCAGCTTAAGAAGACGACATTGCAGAAATTAAAACTCGTTATTAATGCCCTTACTTTAAAATGCAGGGTCTGGCTGCTGCCTGGAACTCTGTAAATCCTGCCCTAAAACAATGAGAGGACCACAGCATCGAGGCAGTGGGGGAGCTTGGGCAATGGCTCTGCTCACCCCACCCCAGGCCTTACATTGCTGCTCATCCTCTAGCCAATCCGCCCCTGTCTAGAGGGAAGGTGCCTACCAGGAGACATGGATTGCCTAAACCAATTCTGGTCACAGAATCTTTGGATCAGATGAGAAAGCTGTGGACCCTCCTTGGGCAAGAGAGTGATGCATTTGTTTATTCGAGAAATATTTATTAGACACCTGCTAGACATAAAGGGGCATATAGAGGAACAAATTCAAATTCCTTTTTCAGGGACTGTCCAGGTTATGAGAAGTTCTGCTTGGGAATTCTGTGAAGAAGTCAAAGACTCTTATCTGAGAAGATGATGATGATGATTCCAGTAAAGGAACCTGAAGTCACCAGCAGGCCAAATGCTCACGGCCAGAGCAGGAGAGTGGCCACAGGGAAAGTGATCTCCAGCTTCCTTCTTGTCCCAGTGTGGTGTCGCCAGGAGGAACCCACAGAAAACATGCAGGCACAGATGCCTGGAATGTCGACAGTGTCTCTGGACACTCCCAGCTGCAAGGAGCTGGCTGCTGCCCTGGAGGAAAGGCAAACATGTCTCTGCTCTCTCTGGCTTCATTTTTCTCACGGAGTCTGAAAGGGCTGTGATCAGGTGATATGTGTGGGGCTGCTCCCAGTACAGGTGCAGGGCAGGTACAAGGGGAGGAGAGAAATCCGCCCCATGTGTACTTACTCAAAGCTCTTTCAATAACCCTACCAGGATAGCTCTTGGCAAGGCAACAACCCAGTCTCTGGCAGGCTGCAGGGAATCGGAGTGTGAGAAAGTCAGTCATGCGAAGGAAAAAGGGGGAAAAAAGCTTTGAGTCCTCAGGCAAAATACCACCACCACCCCCCTTTCCCTAGCTCTAAAACAAACCCACAAAACATCCCCCAAAACCTAGGGGGAAGGGGGAAATCTCTCCTAGGCTACAGACATTTGTTTTATGCTTTAAAAGCAAACAGGTGAGAGAAGCCACCCTCGTGGGTGATGGGTTACACGGGCAGGCAGTGGAGCAGCCCCTGGTTGTGATTACTGGATACGATGTAGTATACAAATTCTGCTTTATGGACATTACACTGGGAGCAAAAAGACCTCCACTCAAAACACCCCTCTCCATGTCCCTCCTGCTTTGGGAGTGCAATGTGGCCGAAAAATGTTCCTTAGGAACCTTTCAAGCTCAAAAAAATCTTTCTGGCTTTTGAGTTTACTGTCCAAATGGGAGGGTGGACAGCACCAATTTGACATTTGACCAGGATAAGAGTCTGAAAACTCATCTATGAGTTCATTTGCAAAGCAACCTTGTTCTTGACACTTAGCAGAGCCAAGAGTCAGGGCTGTCATGGCCTTTGAATCTTATTGGGAGGGGGCAGCACACAGGCACAAATTTATGCATAATTTTTGGTCACATGGGCCTTCTGTCCCTCAATCTAAAAGTGTGTATGTGAAGTCACTTGCTTATTCTTCCAGTGTAAATACTCCTAAAGTGACAATAAATTAATTGTGGTTAACTCTTTGATCCATGGGGCTGCTGGAGGCTACACTGGGAGACCCTAACTGACTTGTTCATCCTCCTCCACGCACCTGCCAGGAACTAAAGCCTGAGAGGCAATAGAAACAGACAAAAAATATTAGAAGGGACAACTGGCATGCCAGGTTAAGAACAGACAGCAGCCAAAGTCATAACAGACCTTATTGCAGGAGGCTGGGAACCTGGTTAGGGTTAAAATGCTCCCCTGGACAGCTGTCCCCTGGAGATTCTGGGACAATGTATTTGTGGTTTCATTGTTGAGGTTTTTTTGTTTTGTTTTGTTTTGTTTTTTTAAGTCAAAGACTTAGTAGGAGCTTTAGTTTGCTGGGGCACAGCAGAAAGAAGGACAACTCCACAGGTTCATCACCTTTCACCATGAGGATTTCAAAAACACAGGAAAATCCCACTGCTTAAAAGGTGACCGGCAATTTTCTGTCATCACCACTTTCCCATCTGTTTAGAATATGAAAGAAGGGAGAGTCCTACCCCATTGGTCCAGGTTGCAGAGCAACAAAGAAGGCATTGTTTATCATTTCTTCAGAACAAGATAGGGCACAGCCCACCCTCCAGCATGGTAATATACACGCGCGCGCACGCGCGCGCGCGCGCGCATACACACACACACACACACACACACACACACACACACACACACACCACCCCCGTCCCCAAAGGGGCAAGAGAACAAGTGTGAATAAAGCAAGTCTGCCCCCTGAGGTAAAGGTTTGTTGCAAACTGGGGGAGGGCTGTCCCTGGAGGCAGGAAAGAAGCTTAGAAAGTAAAAAGGTCAGAACCTATTGAGATGGCAGAACATTACACCTAGGGCAAACCAACTTCCTTTTCACTCAGGTCAGCGGCCTGTGTGGTTACTGACCAGGTGACCTGGACCAAGAAGGTAGCATGTCAGCCTACATGTGTCACTTAGGAGCATTCTCTACTAGTCTGATCTCATGTGGTCGATCTCCAAGTCCTGCAGTCCACCCTTGACACTTGTCAGGGTCATCTTCCTAAGAACCCTGGTGTCTTTCCCCCCACTATGAACCTATTGTGGCGTTCGGAGTCCTTTTTTATAAAGCAGGATGTCTAAGGTCTTGTGGTGGCCTCAAATTTCTTCCTTGCCCTTCCACACATCCTGAATAAAGACCTCAGGTTCCCGAGATTTGCGCCGGGCACTCCCTTCCCCCGAGTCCATGACTCAGCATATTTCCAATGCCTCAGCCATATTTTTCTGAGGTACAAAACACAGATCCTCTCCACCGGTAACTTTACCATAACAGCTTAACATATGACTAATTCTCCTGGGTTCTCCACGTCATTTTACTCCTGTCTACTGCTCCACTTTAGGGCTCTCCCAGGGGAATCTTCTGGGAAATCTACAGATGGCAGCCATACCCACACAGGTATCTGGCAGCGGGCTAAGGCCACTGTCTCGTTCCACACATGATGCAGGTGTAGCTTTGTACTGCAAAGACACTCCTCCGATGACCCCCGCCCCTCAGAACACCATCCAAGCCCCCCAAAAGAAAGGAAAAAACAGAATCCCCAGGCATTGGTCAGAAAGTCTGATTCTGTGCGCCTCCGCCGTTGGTGGACTACTCCAAGGGAGCGGCCACTGTATCTCTCATCATGGTAATCCCCGGGTTTAACAGTGTCTGCCGTTCCATCATAAAAGAGAGAGGGGCTTGCCCAAGGTCATGCGAACCACTTCATCTCATCCCGGACCAGATCTGGAGAAATCATTCACATTATCTCGGTGGGA